GTTTCTTAACATATATTTGAAATAGTTTATTGGGCTTTTAATCTTATTGACGAAAGGCAAACGACCGACCCTTCCATTCTGGCGTTATACCTGGGTTATTAGTAACGGAGGATGTTCATATATTTCGTCTCGATAATACATCCGCAGGTTGTATTGAGTTCACTTTCAGTTTACGAGATCTGATTCATTTCCACCGGTTATTTTATTTTTATTATACTATGGAAATATTAAATTTATCGGTGTCACATACAGCATATTTCAAAATTACACAAACATTAATACATATTAAAAAAAATTATGGACATACACGTTTTAAACCACCCTAGTATTGCCAGCTCTAATTGATATTTTTTTAATGTATAAACTTAATATATAACTGATTTATTAAATTAATTATATAAAGCTTTATTTTGAAAGTTAAAAAATTTATTTCAGTTTTAATTATTTTTATGAGAATTTGATATAAGGCCTCTGTGGTTCAAGATGAAGTATAAAGATTTTACTGGAATAAAAGGAAAGTACGCATCATTTTGTCATTAATTACAAGATACTAAGAAAATGTAATCATTCAAGTTATGTAATTTTATTGGAATCTCTCATTCATAATACAATTGCCATTCATTTATTCCAAAAAGATTTATACGCTTCTTAACACAAATTTTAAACCGCCCAAAAATATTGTTCTACTTTTCAGATGAAGATTTCTAATTTAGTAATAGTTATTACTAATTATTTTTTATTAAGGAATGGATTTCTCCTATATTATGGAATTTGAATATAAGAAAGAGCAAATATTTAGAAATAAATTCTATAACGCGCTTACAATATCAGGAACTCAAAACATATTTTCATCCAATTATCTAGGATGAAGTTATATTTTTCATATTCAAGAAAATCGCAAATATCAAATATAACATTTCACTCGAATAATAAATGAATATATAACATGTATCTATAAAAATCAATGGTTATCATTAATTTTTTTTTTCTCTTTAGCTTTCACCTTTTCTGGTGGTAAGCTACTTCATTATCTCTCTCCACTTTATGTATCTCTTTTATCTAATTTATACTTCTTCATATTGGCTTTAACTTTATGGCCCCATTGAAGTTTTGGCCTTCCTCTTTTACGTTTATCCATCACTTCCAAACTCTCAACCTTATTGCCTATGTAGTTCATAGGCCTTCTCATTGTATGCCCATACCACCTAAGTCTGTTTACCATTATCTTAGTCTTGATGGGCACTACCTTTAAACTTCCTAGTATTCTTGTACTTCGCACCTTATCCTTTCTTATTACCCCAGCATTCTCATCTCCATAGTTTGTAGACTTCTCTCGTCTGATTCTTTGGTTGGCCATGTTTCCGAACTATATAGAATAGTTGGTTGTACTATGGAACTGTAAATTTTTCCTTTTAATTTGTGTGGGATTCTTTTGTCAAATAGCACTCCATGTAAAGATTTCCACTTTAACCACCCTTGATTAATTTTATTTATCTCTTTTTCTATTGTGCCGTTTGTTTGTATAGTGGAGCCCAAATATTTGCAGCTTTCAATTGCCGATATCTGCCATTCATTTATATCAATACTCTCTGTTTCATCTCCTCCTATCACCATATACTCCGTCTTTTCTCTATTTACATTTAGTCTGTGCTTTTCTATGATATTTATCCAGCTCACTCTTTCTTTCATTCTTGGATTCGGCAAGTATCACAATATCATCTGCAAATATCATATTTCACGGGACTGTTTGTGGTATAGACTGTTCTAATACATCTATTACTGTTATGAAGAGAAATGGGCTGAGAGCCGACCCATGATGAACTCTCTCGGCTGTGAAGCCTGTTGAAGTACCAGTTGTGCTACGGACCATTGTTGTATGGCCCATATACATATCCTGTTTTATTCTTATATATTTTTTGGGAACCTTTTTGTAGCGTAGCGCCCACCAGATAAGTTTTCTTGAGACTCTATCGATGGCCTTTCCTAGATCAAGAAAGACCATGTATAGCTTTTTGTTCTTTTCTCTGTATTTTTCACTCATTTGCCTAATTGCGTGGATAGCATCAGTTGTTGATCTTGTAGACATAAAGCCAAACTGAGTCTCTCCTATTTCGATTATGTCTCTTAACCTTTTTTCTATTATGTCTCTTAACCTTTTTTCTATTATTTTTTCGTAGAGTTTAAGACAGTGTGATATTAGTTTTATGCCCCTGTAATTTTGACAATTGTGTGAATCCCCTTTATTTTTGAAGATAGGAACTAGATAGCTCTGCCTCCATTTTTGAGGAATCTCTTCATTTCTCAGTATTTTATTGCCCAGATTTATGAGATGTATTCCATCATCTCCTAGTGCTTTAAGGCTTTCTATTGGAATATCATCTGGACCCCTAGCTTTGTTGCTTTTCATATGCTTGAGGTATATGATTATTTCTTGTTCTGTTATTGGTTGTACAAGGTTTTGACATGGAGAGTGTTTATCTAGATATAGTATGTGGGGATTAAAGTTGAGAAGCTCCTGAAAATATTCTTCTCATCTATTTATTATTTCTTTTCCTTTATTATCAATTTCCCATCTTTATTTTTGATTACTTTCGGAGCTCCGTTTATATCCCTAGAATTTTTTTCTCGCTGATTGACTAATCTGTATATTTTATTTTGCCCTTCTTTGGTATGTAGTTCTTCATACATGTCATAGTATGCCATAGCTTTAGTCCTAGCCACCACCTTTGTAGCTATTCTCTTAGATTTTTTGTAATTTGTCGTCATCTGGGTTTTTGGATTTGTGCCATATTTTATATAGGGCTTTTTTCTCCTGTATAGTGGTTGTACCTCTTCATTCCACCACCATAGTTCTTTGTATGATTTGTTGTCTCCCCTTGTTTGGCCTAGTGTCAATTTGTAATTGTCTATTAATCTGGATAAAAGGCCTGTACATTTTTTCACTGACTTGTGAGGAATCTATTGTTTCAATGTTTGCATTGATTGCAAAGGCATCTGTCATTGTTTTTAATTTACCCCATTTGATGCATGATTCAAGTTTCATCTTATTTTGAGTGGATTTATTTAAGATGTGTAAATACATGACTATTAGCTTGCGTTGCGCGGCTATATCTTCCCCTGGGATGACTTTGCAATCTATTACATCTTTTAATCTTCTGTGAGAGATTAGCATGTAATCTATCTGTGTTTTTCTTGTACCACTTTCATATGTTATTAAATAACTGTCTTTTTCCTATAGTAGGTGTTGGTTAAGGCAAGGTCAAAGGCTTGCACAAATTTCAGTACATGCTATCCTTCATCATTTCTTTCTCCGTATCCAAAACCACCATGATGCCTTTTGTAGCTCTTGCTTTTCCCACATGCGCATTTAAGTCACCACCTATTATGACTAGGTCATCCTTAGGAATTTCCATTACAATAATAAAAAATTATACTATAGATATTTAATAATGGAGATTTGATACATTATTAAGATATCTATGGGCCCTATTCCCCCTCCATTTAATTGGTACATTTAATAAAATTCGAAATATTTTAGTATAAAAAGTGAAAATATCCTGTTATTAGTAAATTAGCAACAAGATTTTAACAATAATTTGTAATTTGTAAAACGCCATATACAAATATAAATTCTAATTTTCGGTAAAAATACATATTTCGGAAGAGCCGATTGCGTCGCCAAAGGTTTTCACATCTTATATATTTTTATAAAGGGTGCCTAAATAAAAGGCAAAGAAAATTTTTCTCTTTATTGCTTAAAAACATGGGTAAAGCTATATTGGTAAACCAGATAAAAACTCAAATTAGCGCCATTTTTTTTCCACCTTTAGATATTTTTATATACAACTTGATTTACTTTACTCTAAATAGTTTTTGAGGTATAAGCATTATAAAAATTTACAGATTTAAGTCACTATCTTTCGCACCTTTATAGCCTTGTATCGCGGAAACTGTGTGCTAGCGAGCTAAAATAAATAAATTTCTCTTTTTTTTAACTATCAAATAATTCTTAAATTTTTTTACAATTTTAAAAGGGTTCGGCCAAATCGTGATCGATTTGACATGGAATGGCCCTAGTGGTACTATGAAAATCGATTTTTAAAAGTATTAATAAAAGTATTTAAATATTTTTTCTTAAATTTTTTGTAGGTATTTCGTATTTATTTTAAATACATTTATTTGAAAATTTGTCCAACTCTGAAAATCATGGGAAAAAGACTAATATTAGTTTTAATTTTAAATTCATCAAGTGTAAGGTATTTTGCAAAGACCTGGGAGACCCAAGCTTGGGTCATTATATTTTTTTAGAAAAACCTGGGTCGGCTAGGTTTTAAATTTATTTATATAAACTTGGACTGGGCCTATATATATAAATTAATCAATTGAAAAATCATATTATAGAACTTTTAATATTCATTTTCATGTTTTCAATACTTGCAGGCCCTGTCCAGAATGGACCAAAAAAATGGTATGCATTTAATATTACAAGCTAGGCCAACTTTTAAAAAGTAAATTTTAATTATATCTATTAATTAGTTGAAAAATTATATAATGAAGATTTCCATTCCCTTTGAAACAACATGCCACCCCAAAATCATTCAAAATTTTAAGAATTCCAGGCAAGGCCAAAAATTATCAAAATAAAAATTTGTTAGGCGAAAATTTAAAAAAAAAACCCTAGGTCAGGCTTAAAAATAAAATTTTTCTGTCCAGGTGAGTTTGAAAATGTAACTTTATTAATCCCTAACAATTGAAAATAGAATTTTGCCAGACCAAATCAGGCATAAATATTAACTTCTGCAGATCTATGAATTCAAAATCACATTACTAAAAATAATTATAAAATTTGTATTCATTTAAAAATGTGAATTATAAGAATGTATTCAAGCTCTATCATAAACTAGAATTAACTTATAATTCTACAAAAAAAAGGTACATGTATATTAAATATACTATTCATATATAATATCAAAGATATAAAATAAGTTTATATATATTACCTTTCTTTACTTTCTGACTTGGATTCATCTATGCTTGAAGAACTCTTTAAAATACCTTTAGGATATTTTGATTTTTTAGAATTTTTACTTTCTTTTTTAGGGCTTTTATCAGTCATTACTTCTACTTTACGAAAAAAAAGATCATATAAAAATGTGGCAATGTCCTTCTATAAGAAATGAAAATAGCCCAGGTTGATGAAATCAAGAATTCGGGTTTTCGGGTGAGGTTATATATAAAATCTTCAAATAAAGATTATTGATTATCATCGATATGGTTGCATTCATAGTAAACATTAGCGTTGCTTTAATTAACCCAGCGTTATGACCACTGATTCAGTTTTAAAAACGAATTTAAGATAATAATTTAATATTTAAGAAAAATCATTAATCGTATTACATATTATTTTATCAACGCATCGCATTATTATGTAAATCAAATTTTATCATAGCGTTATCATCATATAGGTTGCGATATGCATTTTGACAAGATATATAATTTGATATAAAACGTTTTATGTTTTTTTTGCGTTTTTCTGACAAAAAACATTTATAAAAATATATAAATTTAAAAAAATACATATAATATTTTAATAAACAAAAAATATAACGATTAAAAAAAATGTACATAATGTAAAAAAAATTTTACCGAAAAGAATATTTGTAAAAAAAAAATTTTGTTTATAAAAACTCCTCTTATCTTGGGAAGTATTAAAATTACGAAGATCGTAAAATTTGAAGATTTTATTTTTGAAAAATTTTGGCAACGATCTTCAAAGATCATCTTTGAAGATAGTAAAATTTGAATAACAATAGTCATAATCGTTATTTTTTAACTCAAATGGGTAAAGATATATATATTGTTAACATGTAAAATTAAAATTTCAATGAAGATGCATCACAGAAAAGTGACAAGTCATTATCATTATTTTTTTAACCTTTTTTATGCAAATGGGTTAAAAACATATATTGTTAAATTAAAATTTCAATGAAAATGCACCATAGAATAGAAGTGACAATTATCATAATCGTTATTTTTTTTTAACTTTTTGACTCAATAAAAATATATATTATAAACATGTTAAATTAAATAAAAATGTACTATATCCATATATAGAAAAGTTACAATTGTGATAATCCTTATTTTAAATTTTTTTAGATATAATATAGAAAACTGACAATTTTTATATTCATCATTTTTAAACCTTTATAAAAAGGATGTAACATAGAAATTATGACTGGTATATCAAAATTATTAAAGATCGCTAAAAATATATAAACCAGGGTTGTTGACAGAATGGAGCTACCCCATCTAATTTTAAAAAATTAGAGTTCCCAATCTAATTTTTTTTATAAAAAAAAAGGACACAGCTTGTTTCTAAATGTTTTTGATGGCTTTATTATTAGATTACAGAATATTAAAAAACAATGCTTTCTAAGTTATTTAAGTAGAAGTCGTATTTTTAGTATTTGCAACGACATAAAATGGCAGGCCTTTCCGGACAATAAGGCAAAAGTCAAATTTAAGTCACAATCGCAATTTTTTTAAATATTTTTATGGGTTGTTAAATTGCTTGATTGGGTAGAATTAACATGATCTTTAGTAGGATTTTTGATCGAAAAAATGAGCCAGATCCAACCCAGTTAAATGGGTCGATCTAATCGGTCAAATCTATACCAGAACACCGAACGAAAACCAACTTTATAAAATATTTTACCCTGTATTAATTGCTCAATTCGTTTCATATTTTTATGACCATTGAAAGAATTATGTATTAATAAATTAAAATATTTAATTTCCAAAATGTCATTTCTTTAATCTGAAAATATTGTATATTTTTTACTTTACTCTGCTAACTCGAGTCGCGAAATGCAGTTGTAATTATGAACCTTCATTATAAACTTGAAATTGTTTATTATTAAGATTAAAATTTATCTTATATTAATAAATTTAGAATACTTATTTTTACCAAGTCTCCTCTTCTTAATTCTGCAAATAATGTATATTTTTTACTTTACATTACCAATTCAAGTCGTGATTGTGAATTTAAGTTATGAATGGACGAGTAGTTCAATTCAATATTTCGAATCAGAATTAAATTATCTTATATTAATAAATTAGATTTAAAAAACTTTATATTAGTCGGAAAAAAAAATTAATAATTGAAAAAATAGTCTGCCTCTAAAAAAAGCTAAAGATAGAAAAAAATATAGTATCCGGATATTATATTTATTCTTAAAACTATTTTGCTATAGGGACCTAATTTTTCAAGTTAACTTATTACCTTCCATTACAATAGTGATACTTCGGTTCAAAGTAATGCAGGCTTGGTGATAATTTAACCTAAATTGAGTCAAATTTTGAAATTGTTTCCTTATAATATATTTTCAATTTATTCCATCATATTTGGAATACCCTATGAATTTCAGACAATTTTTTCATGAACTTTTAAACTAATATAATTTATATTAGATTTCCTATATATTTTTTATATAAATTGTAAAAAAAAATAGGATTGTGGAATAATTAACTTTTACTTTTTGTCTTTCATTCATTTAAATTAATTCACAAATTCTGGGTTTTATATATTATTTTAATATGGATCTCATATTAATTTTTTTCATTTAGTTTAGACTATAAGATGGTTCACAGTATCCCTGCTGTAACGTAACATAAGACATGATTCAAATTGTATTTTCATAAAAATTATCATTTTGTATTGCAATAAGAATAAAAGATTATTCATAATAAGTTTTAATCAATTATAATTTAAAAAATTTTGAGTTTCCGATTCTATAAACATGTACCAAGATATTTACCAGGTTTAGGTTAGTTAGAATTTAAATTTCATTTAATTTCGTTCCATCATGGTTATTGATAATTTTGTTAATTTAACGCTCTTTCAGTAGGAATTAATCAAAAAGCAGAATATTTTTAGGTTTATTTTATTATAAAACTTATTGTTTTTTTAAAAAATGAGTTTATATCACATAAACTCTTTGGTCAAACATACAAAAGCGAACCAAGATATTTAAAATGGATTTATGTGTTATAAACAGAAACGATCGAGCAAGTTTTATATTTCGCCGGCTGAGAATTATAGTGTTCTATGTCCACATTTTTGGAAAATGCATTTTTATAAATCACTTAGTCAATAGTGTATTCGTACAAATCAACAATCAAAATATTAAAATATAATTTAGAATAATCCTTTATTTGCACTGTTATAGTGATATCTTCTATATAAAATATACAATATACATTATTTTTAAAATGCTTTCAAAAAAAATTAAAAAATGGATATAGAACACAATAATACCCAGCCGACGATTTATATAATAACATTTAGTTATTAATTATTATAATAAACAAGAGTTATATAATAAATAAGTATCATTTTTATATAAATAATAATTTTTTTTTAAAAAAAACATGAATATATTAATACTATATCTAATTATTATTTAGAATTAACTATTTTACATTCATTTTAAATTAATCAAATACAATATTTTAGATATAAAGGCTTTTGGAAGAAGAAAAACTAATATTCTCTAAAAATGATAAATAGTTGTGTAAAAAAAATTTAAGTAGAAAGAAGACACTTTTTTTTATTTAAGATTTATCACAGTTTTTGATAGCGGGGTAGATAAATTTCTTTTATGTTTTTTGACCTCTGACTCATTAGTAACTGCCAAGGTTTTGTGAACAACATATTTAGGCTGGTTAAAATTGTTTGGTAATACATCACATATTTGTTGTATACTGTTGGAGCTCTTCGCATTGGTATGATTGCTGCCAATATATTCCATTTTATCATTGTCGTTTTTTACATATTCATTATGACTAAACGAATCGCTCGTTTTATTTTCACAGAGCTCAGCAAACTCGGCAAAGTTATTTGCAATATCCTTAGCATGAATAGGCAAAGAATTAGATTTAGCGCTATGTTGGAAGTAGTCATTATTAGAGTTGCGCAATTGCGTGGATGATGAAAGGTGTAAAGGATAATTAGTATCGCGCTTATAAATCGTACTACCATTAACCACGCTGTCGCTAGATTGAAAGTTACTCGTGCTTTTATTTTTAAACAAAGCTTCTTTGTTAGTAGTCACGTTTGGAAGTTTATGAGATTTGTTGTCATCGTGAGCATCGAAATTTGAATCTTTTCGAGTTCGAGTCAGATATTTTTGGCTCATTATTTTGATCATTCTGTGACCTAAACCGCCGGCGAATATCAGAGGGCACAAACTTTCGAGTATTACGAATAGGAAACGACGATTGAAGGACTTAACCTGAAACATATCGAACGTCATCTTGATTCCGTCTTTAGTTGTTTCGCTACCGACAAGGGTCTTAATTTCATCTTAATAAAAAAATATTTTAAATTTCATATTTATCTAATTTTACTCTGACGATGTAATAATTGTTGCAAATTTAATATATTTTTTGGCAATTGACCAATTTGGCCATTTTTATTATTTGTTTAATTTAGGATAGATAAGAATTTTTAACAAGGTTATTATTACAGGTGTATTGGTATATGATCATATGTCAATATTATCCAATATTAAATCATAAATTTTAAAAAAATTACACATCCTTATCTACATATCAGATTTGCCAATTTTAAAATATTAAATATTGGCGGGTACCGAATATTTTAAATGCAATTTACATACCGATCTGATATTAAGAATTCGATATGTTCGCAGTTAAATTATTTATTTTTACAAATGAAACCAAAAAGGATTCTTTAATGTGAAGTGTGCATATTATCATCAAATTAAATTTAAAAAAATACTGGCTTATATTTCGTGATATCTCACAAATGTATTAACCTGGAATGGCGGCGAATATCTTGGATAAAGCTAGTACTTTTGTCCTAGCTTTAACGGCATCGCTACGAACGAATTGAGGACCAGCCCATACCCCATTTGGCCAGAATGAATCACTAAATTAATATATAAAATTATGAGAATTTAAAATGCGATAAAAATATCTCCTATACACCACGCCAACTCAGTATAACTATCCTTGTGCAGTAACGTTTCCTTCTTGAAATTTTTAAATTAATCAAAAATAAGAAAATTATATCTAAAATGTCTTAAAAAAATATTCAAAATTTCTTTCTTTTGCCAGTGTTCGAGCCCTAGTTTGCACCCCGTAACTGCCCTTAAGTAGTACAACTATCAGCAAGTTTAATCTCGTCTACTTAGTATTAATTGAGTTAGCTCTATAAATCAAGAAATATTAGTGATTATCCCTTATCAGTTATTATTGTGCTTTATTAAATAAATCAAAATAATAATCAAGTAAATTAATATTTTTACTTTACTTAATCCTTATTATGCATGAGTTAGATAAAAGATTTCCTAGATACTATAATTAATTCATTTTAAAAAAAAATCCATGAATTTCAATTTTAATATTAAGTATTTTTTCATTGAAATACTAATAAGGTCATAGTAATATGTTTTTACACTGTTAAAAATATATTCTTGCTCTTCCCTCAGGTGGTCTCGAGATGGCTACAGAAGTTTAAAAGTCCCTGTGGTCTGGAATTAGAATATGATCATCGTCTCTTAGATGTGGTGTAAAATTATAATGATTAAAATTAAATATGGGCGAAGTACGGCCTAAAGTAACCCGTAGGCCTACTCATCCATGACATAAAGGATTAGAAATCTAGTGGAACCACAATTCGTGAAAATGAGATCCACAAATGATCCAGCACTATGTGTAGAAACCGGTTTAGTAGTGATAGGCTAAGGGTTACGAGGTGATATGCATCGAGTATGATAGAGAGAAGAGGGAGAAGGAAAGTAAATGCATATTGTACACAAGATATTAGATGGAAAGTTAATGGTGCAATACGTTAATCTGAAAAAAATAATTAGCAAAAATGGCGTTGGTATATTTGTTTGTTGCAGAAATGGGTGGACAAGATAATAGAGTTGAAAAGACTAGATAAGTGTAATGATCAGATGATCTTTAGTAGAATACAATTCAATATTATCTTGGCATATACTTCCATGTTGGCAGAAGTAAGGGATATGAAGGAATTCATGGGGGATTTCGTTACGGTATGAGAAATAAATCCGGAAGTGGTATAGAAATAGTTGTTTGGTACAAAATGGTGATCGGTAAGGATATTAAGAATATCTTGAGGACTTAAATGGAAAAACAATGAAGAGAATGGGTGGGATAATGAAGTTCCCTAAAGGTAGAAGGTTCTGGCTTTAGGTTAGGCAAAGATCAAATTAAAAAAACGTTGAGATGGGAAAGGGCAAAGCAGCGGTTCAACAAGCATGATACAAATATGTTTAGGAGGTTATGAAGACTTAACAATTGATTGACTTATGAATTTATAAAGGCGAAGATTTGTAAGAATACAAAAGAAAGGATCATACTTTAGATTCCGGGTGTTATAGAGCAATTAAGGTCTTAGAACATTCTATGGAAATATTTGAGTGTTAGAGAAGCGGATAAGGGAACAAATGAAAATAGATTGGTTACGCCTGAAAGCAAATGCACTTTTGTGATGAGATAAATACAGAAAAAGTATAGCGAATGGAAAACTATATTAGGCTATTTCCACATATAATGTTTTTCAAAACGATTTTTGGGTAATGTTACCAGCTTTCCAAAAAAAAAGCTAACTTGTCGAATTAATTTTTTTTTTATATAATATGATATTTTTTTTTTATATAATATGATATTTTAAATAAAAAAACAATGCGGATCCCTATTTTTTTAATCGTAAATAAAAACAATGTGAGAGCAGAAATCGCTGTCCGGACAGATGATGGAGCTATCGAATGCTTTGAAGTTAATGGAGTATATACCAAGGATATTTTTCCTCCGAGTAATTGACATAGTGACTAGAAATATGTGCGAAGGACATCCATAGGAGACCTAAAGAATAAAATTATTGGATGGAAGATGGCGAATGCAAGGACTTAAATGAATGCTAAAAAGATAAAGGTGATGATTGGTGGGGACACTTTACGGATAGAGAAATCCGGCATCTTGCCTTATGGTTTATATGGAAAATGAATTATTAGAAATTTAATCAAATGCATCTACTGCCAGAAATGATATATAAATGATGCAGTGGTGAGAATGGTAGTCTGAAGATCGCTGGTTTGACATTTATCTGTAGAACATGTGAAAGGAACTTATGATCATAAGGAATATAAGAGTGAATTAGATTGGAAAAAATGAGAAAATGTTATTTCGGTGACATACCAAACGCAGATGGAAGTGTTGATTCGGCTGTTGTTGATGCGTGGAAGAATTTCCGAGAGATGTCATTTATATAAACAAATAAAAACGTCTCTAAGTTGAAGAAAAAAGTTTACATAAGCTATGTGAGAAAATGTATGGCCTATGGTGTGAAATATGGGCAATAAAAGTGGCGCATAAATCTGAATTTGAAAGAATGAAATGGGTGTTTGGTATCTCTGAGAGAGATAAAAAACAAATATACGTGATCGGAGTAGTGATGAGAAGAAATAGACTAGGGTGGATTGAGTAATGAGATGCACCTTGATGGAAGTGAGAGAATCAATGTCTTGAAGATAAACCAAGACGACATAGATTAAAGTGATGACATGAGAAAAATGGATCTTACAAATCGCGATTTCCAGGATGGTAAAAAATATGGGGGGGGGGGGGGGTCAAAGGGAAGTGTATTTGCTTACCCGGATAAACCTATTAAAACTCCATTAAACGAAGAAGAACTTTGATAATTAATTTATGATAAGAAAAAAAATTGTTTTAAAGTGAAAAATATAAGTAGTTTATTTGCATTTTAGAGTTTCAAAAAATATGAATTAATTATTTGAAAGACCCGCAATATTAAAAGAATTAGTTTTAATGCTGAACCCTAGATTTTGAACACTTAGTTGTAGCAAGAATAGTTTTGAAAGCGACGATCTCAGTTGGGTAACTACTATATTTTTGTTCATGCCAATTTTTAGGCGGCTAAAACTAACTATCACTTTGACGTCTGGAGTTTTTTTAAAATATAGCAGTTCAAATTTGAAAAAAATTAATATAAATTAAAATGCCTTAATGTTAACGAATTTTCTCCGGCACGCGCCTGTAGATTGAGCCGAATTCCGCCGTTATTTAACGATTAATGGAACAATTTTATTTTAAATATTACATATAATTTACAAGACTACTTAAATAACAAAAATAAATTACCGAAATTTTTTCAAATAATGAGCGACTTGTTCGGTAGATGTCAGGTAGTCTATTTGCTCCAACATTTTTCTATTGCCAAATAGTTTTTGTTAATTTTAAAAATTATTGAATAATTTTTCAAATTTAAATCATAGCAACCTGATAATAAGGTGACGGGAAATGCAAAAAACTGGAAATATTTTTTAATATACCTTTTAAAATCTCAAAATGGCTTAATAGGTACTAGAGAAGGTAATACTTGTAGATGAGGCCCGGGAAAAAATATTTTTACTGGTGAAATTGGAATTTCTCAAATTTTTTAAAACTTATAATTAGGATAGCATCCTTCATAAATGTATTACGGGGTGGGGTAAAAAATTTACGGGCTTGTTCTGACAACGCCGACTTCTAATACTTATATTTCAATTGAGTTTTTTTTAAAAAAGTTAAAATGTAGTAGATTTATTAAATACTAAAAATATTATTTATATTTTTTAAAATATAAAATTCATTTTTCAAGGTAACTTGTTCATAGTTCCACCATAGGTAACTTGAAAAACTTGCCTTAAAATGACCATAAGTCGATGCCGCAGCCATTGATTACGAGTTTTGAGATCAAATATTTCGTCCATCAAAAGTATCAAGATTTTAAAAGTGATGTTTTCTTCATCCTAATTTTTTTTTAAATAACTAAAGCCTTAGTATTTGATTGCTCTTTTTTAAATTATAAATATCGCTACCAGAGTATCCGCACTTAAATAGGCTAAGGTTAGTGTTAAGACATTATATTTCACAAAGGTTTAAACTCGGTTCAAAAATTATATTTTATAAAGGTTCAGGTTTGGTTCAGGTTAAAAAAAAACCTTTAATAAAAGTTTAGTAATATGAGGTTTATATAACTCGATAAATAATTTTAACATAAAATTATATTGTGAATTTTTATTTGTAATAGAATTATGATTACAAAGTATAATTAAAATATCATCTAATAACTCTCGGTATTATCTTGCTCTTGATGACAGAAAATATTTCAATCCTGAATAGGCTCGACCGAAACCTGTGTTGTTGGGATAGACATGACTATTATTGCCAATAGATAGAATTTGGGTTTCTCGAAATCTTCCTTCCCAATATGCAAGAATATCGTGTGTATTGTTTAATCCGTTCGATGGCGTTAAAGGAATTTATATAGTGCCTATTAATCGAACTTATTTTGTATTGTGTGATATATTTTAACTTTTTTAATTTCTTTCATTTGCTATGGACTCAAAATCTTCCTTGGAGTCAGGATAATTATTTTGACTAGAACTAATGGAAGGAAGTGAATTGTTTATCATCAAACATTCGCTAAGTAATTCAGAAGCCAAGTTTATTTTCTTCAGATATGTTAACGTGGATCGAGATATACATGAATTTATTTTTATTGATTTATCTCCCTTGATTTTATGGAAGAAATAAACTAATTAGAAAATGCTCTCTTAAGTTTTTCTTTATTTTAATAGTGTGTTAATAGAAATCATCTAAAATAAATCTTATTTTTTTTAAACAATTGCTATATTTTTTTATAATTACAAATTATTAGTAATATAATATATAGTAGATTATATAAAATAAAATATAACATAAAACCAATAACATTAATACTAATCTAGGTGCATGCATTGAAGTCAGCTGCAGTCAATTTCAATAGCTGTATTAGAAGCCAGTGATTAAAAGGCGTTCCGTTTAGATGTCTTTCCTATCCAGGGATTAACCGTAAGTATAGCTGCTCGGTTCGTTTGAATTTTTAGTTTAAAATTTATAAAGGTTTTGTTCCATTTCGGTTTTTTTGAAGAATTCATATCGGTTCGATTTGGAATTTATAACAGTTCTTTTAGGTTCGTTGCGGTTTTTTAAATTTGATTTAATGAAACATAAATATATATTAATCTTAGAGAAAAATCTTTTTAATTTATATTTTTATAATTCCTTATTTAATTTAACCACGAAGATTATTTCTTATCTAATTAACTAGTAATTTATCTAATCTCTATTAAATTGAATATTTAAAATAAAAACAATAAACTTGGTATTTTGATGTGAAGCTAATGCCAATTTAATTTTAAAAAAATTTTAATTTGAAAAGAAATCACGAATTTAAATTGCCCCAAAGGAAAATCAAAATTTTAAATTTAGGTTAATAATTTAAAGTTAATTATTTTTAAAAAACCGGTTCAAAATATTTATAACAGTCCGGTTTGCTCTTTTTATATTTTTTTTATAATGGTTTGGTTCAGAAAATTATAACAGTTTGATCCAGTTTCGCGGTCTCGTTTAAATGTCTTTCAATAACGAATTCAGTGTATATAAAATTATAAATGTATGAATAATCAGTCTAGGTTAGCATACATAATCGATTTTTTTATATATTAGGGCTGTGCCGATCCACAAATTTTTCCGATATTACCAAAAAACCGATTCCGATTCAATATTTATATTGATTTTTATTTACCTTCTATCTTTGTATCAATGTCATATAAATATCAATACTTTCTTTTTTTTAAATCAACTAACTACGAATGATTAATTGCATATTTTTTTATTCTCCAAAAATATTTGCATGATGAGTGATAGTGGTGTTGTAAAGCAACTATATTTAGCCGATTTTTAAAAAGGGTGAAATAAAGATTTTCACCAAAATATTATTACATAAGCCTCGAAATTTTCCCAATATAAGTTCAAACCTTTCTGTCATCTTGGCAAAATCAATAAGTTTGAGTAATTTACTTTTGGCCAAAATTTTGAGTTAAACGTTTTTAAAATTGAGTAAATCGATCCGTTTAACAACACTAGCTGAATGTGACTCGTTAAATATTTTAAGATCTTTTTCTTGTTGCAGATAATTTAACAAAAAAAGTATAAACATTTTAACTATTTTTTAAAAATTACATATTATTATTATGAAAATATTAATAAAACAAAAAAATTATATGATTATATATACAATATCATAAAATAACCAAATACAATAACAAATATCGGATCGTTTTTTTTAAAAAATGACCAGATCCAATATTTTTTAAAAACGTAAAATATCGGTGATCCGATGTCTAATCGGCACAGTCCTTTTATAGTCAAAACAATAGATTCTTTATTATAAAAATTGTTTCCTATATATAGACTTTTATAATTATGTCATTTAACTTCTACTAATATGCAATTACATCGACCTCCATAAGATAATATAAAATGTAAGAAAGTTATAATAATATATAATTCAAATAGCGTAACCTTTTAAAATATATATAAACATTCTAATATAACAAGTCCTAATATATATCATAGTTTAAAATAAAATAAATAAGGCTTAGAATAAATATGCTAAAGGGATAAACAATAAATTATGTTAATTTTTAAATTACACCATTTAATATTTATAAAATAAAAAAGTATATAAACCGGTTATAAAGGCTTGGTTAGCTCCTTTAAAAATTTTGAAAAGGGTTTGACTCAGGTTTATTTAAAAATATTAAATTAATATAGGTTCAGTTCGACACTCTGATCTATAATATCTTCCATTTTTTAAAAAAAAATGTTTATAAAAATAGAAAACATTTTAAGAAAAGGGAAAGAAGGGTACAATTCCAATCTGCGTACAATAAGATAATAATATCATTTGTTATAAGCAAAAATATATATTCTACATTTATGTGAGGAGATTTCCAATTAAAGTTGTTTTTATTTTGGCTTACAAAATATAGGTCGAATTTCTCATTAATAATTTATCTTCCAATTTCTATTTTGAGCATTTAACTATATGATCTTTGATAAGAAAATGGAAGTAAATAATTTCAAAAAAAAAGGAATATTAAGTAACCTCCATATCTGTAAGAGAAGCTTTATTAATTGTGTAATTGCTGGTTAAAGAGTGTTCTTCATTGAGCATTTTGAAACCCGGTATGAATTGCTATATTATATTACATTTTACACATAATATAATGTGCCTACTCTTGCTAAACGGTTCTTTTTGAGGCGATTTTTGAAAAGGGCTAACTCAACGTTTTAACCAGAAAATTATTACACAAGCCTAAAGATTTTAGCTCACAGATGTCACAAAGGTTTGGCCATCTATTAGAATAATCTCGAGGCTTAGGCAAGAATTTTTTGGCTAAAATATTGAGTTCGCCGTTTTTAAAACTTGACCCAAATCGAGCCGTTTAACCACACTAGTGCTACTAAATCAATCATCAGAAAAAAATAACAATAAAAATGCATGTAAACACAATTTATACTATATAAGTAAAAAATGGGGGGAGGGGGCACCTAGATGTAAAATATTATAAGGGACAATCATAAACTTAAAAAACCAAGTATTTCAATAATATTTTTTGAAAGCTGAGAATATTTAAAAAATAGGAGGTATGGGGGAGGGGTTCGTAAAATAAAAATAAGCGAATAAAAATCTTACAGTAAGATTAATGAACTTTTCAACTCCATCTTTCATGGTATCCGATACTTTTATAACCCCGTCAGCAATATTTTCTGGAACTGTTTTGACTACGCTTCCCATAAATCTGACGGAAGATTTTAGAGGGTTTACAAAAGTATCCATCTGTTATAAAAAAATATATATATAAAGAGATTTGTGTTCCTATTATTTCTTTTAAAAAAAGAAGTAAATCACAGGAACACGTTTTTAAGATAAGAGATATTCGAAAAGTAAGATTTAAAAAACTATGTCAATATTTGATCTTATATGAACCTGTTTAAACGAGCTATATAGGTTATAGGTTTATAAGATTGGGTTAGCTCCTTTAAACAAAATTTAAAAAAGTCGGATCATGTTCATTAAAAAATATCAAATTACATAGATTCAGTTTTCGAGGGTAGAAAATTATTTTTTCCCAAAAATCTAGATGAGCCAATTCAGGCAGGGCCAATCTCTAATCTAGTTAACAACTTGGGCTAATTTATAAATTTGTAGTAGATAGAGGCGTAGCCAGTATATAGACTACTTAAATAAAATACAATCTAGCTAAAATACAAATTAGCTGGTAATTTTTGTTTTATAAATTTCTTTTCCAATTTATGGAATTTTTTTATCATTTTTTTCTAAATTTTTAATTGATTTTTTTCATTTTTAGAACTTTTTGAGTATTTATTATTTTCAAAAAAATTATAGCCTGATTTTTTACCCATTTTACTGTTTATAACTTAATTTTTCTCTCGTTTCCGTTTCTTCTTTATTTTAAGAGCATTGTACCAAATTCTATAAATTTTAATCAAATTTATTTTTAAACTTGATTTCTCTTAATTTTCAATTTTTCTACCAATTTTTGAATATTTAGATTTTTTAGCCTGATATATCATAATTTTTACCTGATCTTAAACCAATTTTTGAGCTGTTTTCATGATTTTCTTTTTTAAACTTATTTTTCTCCCTAATTTAGTGTGCTTTTATAACACCCCCCCCCCTCCACCACAATATTATACCTGATTTTTATATGTTTTACAATGCTTAGTCATATTAACTTCACTTTCCTCTCTTAGCATTATATTTTATTGATATGGATCTTTATTCCAAATTCTTTTTCAATTTGTTGTCATAAAAGCCTTTTATTGAGGCAATTTCAGGATTCAATTTTATTTCTCATAAATTTGTCGCTACTTTTTTTATTCATTATCACGAGGTAAATAAAAATAAAAAAGTATGCAAAAATTAGAAACTTTGAAGGTTTTCAAAAAGTCTCTGAAAATAGTTCAAAATATATAAGAGGAATGTGGAATAAAGATGCAATAAGTTGAGAAAATGCTTGCACCCTCTGATAAAGCTTCTCCGTGAACATTGGTCTAACCAAGAGAAGATCTAAAAATCTCCGCCCCTCTGAAAATTTGTAGTTTTGTAGATAATTTTAATCCTGTGACTCTCATTCGCACAAAAAATGAAAAAAGGAGGATATTATAACAATATTTTTTTTAAATAATGAGCCTATACGTTATTAACTTTTTAGAATAATTATTATAATTTAAACTTTTCAAAAAAGGTACAACCATAACCCGGTTAGAGGCCTGCAAAAAGTATGCCTAATAAAATATATGAGAGATAACAGCCCGAAAGTGCCCATTCTAATAAAATGGGAAGTAGAAAATAAAATTCAAATCTAACTCCCAGATGGCAGTAATAAATTATGAGTCAGAAATTATGATTTAATAGTCTTGAGAGACTTTAAGGTGTTCTGAAAGAATTTGTTTACGAGAGACAAATTAGAATTAGATATAAGTTTTGTCACGGTCGTATTTTTCACCAAAATAAACTAAGAGGAAAATAAATTAGTTAGCATGAGCATTTTAACATATAGAAAGATAAAAAATTAAGTAAACCTTAAAAAAAATGATAAAACCCTTAAAAGTGGGTAGAAAGAAATACACAAAAGACTTGAAAGTTAAGAAAACTTTACAAGATTCTATTTTAAAAATAGGCCGGAAAAATAAACAGAATTGAAAATTACAAAAAAATGGGCTAAAAAATACAAAAAGTAGGCAAAAATTGGAAAAAATATTTTCATTAAAAATAAAAAATATTCAAAAATCAGTTGAAATCATACAAAGATAACGAAAAATTAATTGTGTTATAAGTATAAAATATTCTAAAAAATGGAGAAAATATATATAAATATATATATATATGGTGAATTCCATATCAAATCAACAAAAAAAGTCGATTTTCAACCCGACCCCCTTCAATTTTTCTTAAATTTTGTATACTGGTAGTATATACTGTAACAAAGAAAAAAATGAAATTTTACCTTCCAACACTGTTTACCCGCTAAGATATGGCCGTTTAAAGCGCGGAAAAATGGTACATTTTTAACAAAATGCACCTCATTTATTTTCAAATATCTCGAGAAATAATTATGTTAGAAATATAATTTAAATTTTATTTTGTAGCTTAATAAATGTTCTTTATAATGACATAAAAATAAATACATTTGATTAATATCGAAAACCGGAAATGGCCATAGAAAAAAAAGGTATTTTTTTTCAAAATTTTTTTTCTGTAAATAGATATCACACTGCTTTATATTTGTAAAAAATCCTAGACTGGGATGAACATGGGTTTAGGAGTTATCACTCTTTATATGGCTAAAATTGAACAAATTTAACATTAATATCATCATATTTTAATTTAATGAATAGTTATGAAATAATGTTAATTTTAAAAATTATGTCTAAATGACAGGCCCTTATTTTTTTATCTTTATCAAAATTTTTGAGAAGTGGCTGGAATAATGAGCTTTGTTTAACACTTTAATTAAATTTTGTCTCGAAGTTACTTGACAAAATAATTCTAAACATATTTATAACTTTATTTGCCTCAAATTGCATTACATATAATACAATCAAAAATTTATAATTAAAATATATCATATATTATAATCATTCAAGGAATTTTAATAAATTATGACTTTTGTTTTCGACTAGGGGAATAAAAGCTTGGAACTTTGTGTTCCAGAAATTCTCTTTGCTCTCAAAAATCTGCTTTCAAGATGACTTTCTATGTTCATATATTCATTATTGCACAAATATATAATTTACCCCATAGATATTATTTCTTGCATAGTTAAATAAATCTATTATTGTCAATATGTGATGTTCATATGGACGTTGCAAGCTTGCTTGAGCTGCTAACTGTTTAGTAACGGCCCCCAAAATGTCGCATGGACTTTTACCTTGTGCGGTTTCAAAAAATGTCACTATCCCAAAATCATTTTCATGATTGTAGATATTAATGAAATCTTTTATTTTTATATTGGTTACTGCTCCATCAGAAAAATAATAAATTTTAGCCACTCTATTAAATCTTTGCTTCAAGAATATGATCAATTTTTAAAAAATAAAATGCACATGCGTTGTGCTTTAAACAATCTGATATAACCCACTAAATTTACATGTTTTATTATGTTGTTCTCACGGTAATAAATTATAAAAGAGTTGATAGTGGCTTGATTATTGGTCTGATTAAATCCTTGCGCATGGTTCTGCACTACAAATGCAAAGTTTTCTGAAAAGTCTGCAATAACTAAGAATTCGTCAACATTTAAATTGAATTTTAAAAAGTTTCGAATTAATGATTATCGTGAAGCTATAAATAAATGAGGAATTAAATTGTTTAATTATTCAATTAAATAATCTACAAATTCGTCAGCAGATTTAGTCAGTGTTTCGAGGGTAGTTTGATTAACTGCTATCCATTGTTTGAATGTTTTATAATCTATAGAATTTTCGTCAAAATTAAGCCTTTCTTTTAATTTTGAATATATGGGGGAAAATTTATTGTTGAATTTCAATTTTTGTAGATTATTTTATGCTAAATAAAATATTTAAAATTATTTTGTCAAGTAATTTTAATTTCGAGATAAAATTTAACTAAAGTTTTAAACAGCTCATTATCCCAGCCACCTCTCAAAATTTTTTTTATAAAGATAAAAAAAAAGTAAGGGCCTATCATTTAGACATAAATTTTAAATTAACATTATTTCATAACTATTCATTAAATTAAAATATGATAATATTAATGTTAAATTTGTTCAATTTTAGCTATTATAAAGAGTGATAACTCCTAAACCCTGTCCATCCCAGTCTAGGATTTTGTACAAATATAAAACAGTGTGATATCTATCTACAGAAAAAAAATTTTGAAAAAAAATATACCTTTATTTTCTATGGCCATTTCCGGTTTTACACATCCGGTTTTCGGTATTAATAAAATGTCCATCATATTTATTTTTTTGTCTTTTTAAAGAACTTTTATTAAGCTACAAAATAAAATTTAAATTATTTTTCTAATAATTATTTCTCGAGATATTTGAAAATAAATGAGGTGAATTTTATCAAAAATGTACCATTTTTCCGCGCTTTAAACGGCCATATTAGCGGGTAAACAGTGATGGAAGATAATATTTCATTTCTTAGTTATAGTATATACTACCAGTATATAAAATTTAAGAAAAATTGGGGTCGGGTTGAAAATCGACTTTTTTTGTTGATTTGATATGGAATTTACCATATATATATACTAAAAGGAGAAAAATCAACAAATTCAAAAGAAAATATAAAATATACTCTAAAATCTAAAAATAAAAATGATAAAATAAAAATTAACTAGTTAATTTGTGTGATAGATAGCTAGTTAGTAAATTAGCGGACAAATTTGTATATTAGCTAGCTATTTGTAAATTAGCTAAGTTTGTATAACATATATATTGATCATTGATAAATAGAATCTCTTCGATTAATTGTAATATCACACTGTATAACTTGATCAGAATATTTAAAAGTAATAATTATTTGATAGTTATATAGATTAAATAACTTTTCTAGCTATTTGCCCGTTCCATTTTTCGTATGGGCCGGATTCCAAAAACTGGTCCAATAATTCTTTCAGCCCTTTGTGAGTTCTAACGAATTCAGGAGACATTAAGACCTTATTTTTAATAATGATTAAAAGTTTATGACGTATTATAAAATTATTAGCAATGACTTCCAAAAAATATATAAAGCAAATATATCTTCATAATATTTTGATTCAACATTAATATCAAATTTTTTATACTTATTTTAAATTTAAAAGGTGATTAATATAAAAAAAAATTAATAGCATTTTCATATAATACATAACATAATATATCTAGCGTATATTGTTCCTCGAGGAACCGGAAATAATTTTAAAGTTAAAAGAAATTTTTAATGTAGCCCCAAGCTTAAAAACCTAAAATCTAAAAATAATATTATAGTGTATAATGTTTACCTTGAGATAAGAATCTAGCATTTTAAGGCGTTTTTCCAAAAAATCTTTAGTCATATTTCCAAACGGTTTTTTCGGAGGAAACCGTAATTCGTCAACATCGGAATACTGAATATTATTATATTATATATATATGTCGTATTGGGATATAAGGGAATTCGGAATATCTCAATTTTATATCCTTTATTGAAGGAGATTTCTATTTCAAAAATAGAATTTGACAGGAAATGCTTTCCAGCATGAGTAGAATGCCTATACTATAAATTTCAAACAATTTTGGCCAAAACTTTTGTGTATTTTTTTTAAATTTATATGAAAAACTTATATAAAAGTTGATGTAAATCAAAAATGCAGATATTCTGAATCCCAATTGATTCCATATATAAATACAACATTAAATATATTCGTAAATTCTATACTTAAGCATCTATTTGTTGGAAATTTAATTAGGATCAAAATCTTCAACTTATTTATACATTTTTTTATAAAAATATATAAAAATAAGTGGGAAGAAATTTTTAATTTAAGATATATTTTTTTAAAAAAAATATATACTTTTTTTGGAAATTATTCCTATGTCATAATCTATCTATTTTTTTTCCTCTACAACAACATAACATATTCCAGAAGTATTATATAAATGTCAAGGTGGTTAAAAACAGAAATGGAAGAAGAAAAGAATACCCTATCCCTGAGATTCATATGAAAATCGTGAAATTCGCTGTATCGCCTATATACGCACCAGGTATCAACTTTGTTATCGAAACCAGAGTAAAGTTGTTTATCGTCATTAGTGCCTGTTTTGGTTTTATCTTTATTAGCCTTCATGCATTTCTGCCTAGCATCATCAGACATTTGATAAGGCTGCCTGGTTATAGTTATAGCGTACATTGCATACGTTTTATCGGATTCCCTGGAGACGACTTGGGGGTATTTTTCATTTTAATTTACATACATAAATATATAGGTTATCATTTCAATATGTCATAGCATAATTAAATTAAAATACAGTTTAGATATTAGAGGGGTAATCGGCCTGGCTTTAACCAGCCCATAGTAAATAATTTTATTCAAGTTAGGAGGCCAGACCCGAAAATTCCAATCCCAATTAGAAACCAAAAAAAAATCTCAAAAAAGTTTTTCAAAAAACCTATATGAGTCACGTGAGCATTGATTTTGTATTCCAATTCAAGTGCGCGTTTGAGGATGTTGGGATGTATTTGAGAATTATTATCATGTAAATGTTTACTTTTAGGTATTAACGTGGAAGAAGGAGGGTAGGAGGACGTCGTTGTCATGTCATATTTAGATATCAAATTTTGAGCACTCGCGCTCCTAAATCCGTAATTCGAAAAAGCACTTTTGTCTGATGGGTGTGAGGATATAGTGGGCGAAAAGTGTGAAACAGCTATTAAATTTTTTAAAATAAATTTATGTAAATAAAAATAGGAATTAATTCCAAAGGCACGAAAAAAGCAATTATGCCAAAAATAGAGCAATTTTTAAATAGTAGATCTTTTTTTAATGCATTATGTGCCAATATTCGATTGGTCAGCTGTTATTGACTTTATATTAATATAAAAAAATTTTAAATGCGGTCAGAGAGATCTTACGCCCTTTTTAATATTAAATATCCTGATTTTAAAACTACGACCTGATGCAGCTTTTTTGATTCTAGCCCAATAAATTGAAGAAAATTAATCAAGCATTTATAAGATATTTTTCTTTAAAAAAAAATCGGAGTGAAGCAATGTTCTTAATTGCTAAATTGGGAATCTTTCTTATATTTCCTAAAAAAAAATTTAATATTGAAAATAATATTAGATGCTTAGGGAAGTAAACAATGTATTTAAATGATTTATAAAAAAAATCACTAAAATGATGGAAATATCTTAAAGATTATAAATTTAAAAATCTTATGGATATTTCCTCCTATTCATAGCGATTTTTTTAAAAACTCAATTTGAATAGAAGTCTACTTTCTTAGTATCCATTATAATCATTTTTTAAAGATTATAAATTTAAAAATCTTATGGATATTTCCTCCTATTCATAGCGATTTTTTTAAAAACTCAATTTGAATAGAAGTCTACTTTCTTAGTATCCATTATAATCATTTTAAATATCACTTGAAAAATTTTCTAGGAGATATAAACTATCAATTTTTATCTATTTTTGTTTTCGCGATTTAAAACGGAAACTATCCAAACCTGTCAATGTTATCTTTCATCTATGTAAGTTTTATAACATTCTTTTTTAAAGTGGTTGGTTGATAAATCAATCAAAATTATTTGATCATAATTTCTTCTTTATATAAAAAAAAGAAAGAACAATAATTACAAATTTATTGTCTCCTTTCATTTATTTAATAGCTTTTTAGCCTTTTAATTCCGGATTTTAGAAATTTTTATAATTTACACGATTTGGCGGTTTATAAAATTTGGCGCCTTTAACTTTTCAAATTTTTAGTCAACTAGAGAAACGAAAGTTTCAAAAATAAGATTATTTTAAAACAGTAGATAAAATAAATTTAGGTGTTTTGGTACTTAGTAATAGTAATACTAATAGGCAATTTTTCAGTACGCCAGTTAAAATATATAATATTTTTTTAAATGCGTCATAACTTTTACTCCTAAATCTGTGGCTTAATCTAGGTTTTGCATAAATACAGCCTAGTATCCATTTGAAAAAAAAACTACAATTTTTTCTATGACCATTTCCAGTTTCCTCCGATTTTTGTAATAAATAAATTATTCTACTATATTAAATTTTATGTTATTTAAAGAATTTTTATTAGCTGTAAAATTTTAAATATGTGCTAGATAAATTATTTCTTCTATAAAAATAATGATGTGAAGAGCCCATGTCACCAGAAGTAGTTAAAGTTTATAAAAATTTTAAAAATAAATCCGAAAAGGTTATAATAATGGAATTTAACATAAATCTATAAATATAGGTTTGACAATAATAATTACGATATTCGTGCAGTGAACTAGTCTCCGAAGTATCTTTAGTTTCAGGTAGCATGTCCATCTCGGCAAGTAATTTGTAAAAAAAATCGCTTTTCTTAAAATTTTCGAATATCCCGTTATCTTCTTTGATAAAAATGTCTAAAACCTGTAAGTGAAGAAAGTCAAAATTATAAATCAAAATATGCATAAATCTTAACTATTGTGACTAATATAGGGTTACAAACTTTCAACAACCAAAAAAAACATTATTTATATTATTTTAAAGTGTAATTTAGGTTGTTGAAAGTTTTTTTTCGTTTTTTGAGGACTGTTAACCCCATTAGCAAAGTTAAGGATATTTTTAATGTGCATAATCATTTTTATTAATATTTAAATTTTAATTGATACAAAATATTATTTTTTAAAAAAAAAATAAGATTTAGCGCATTATGATATGGAATCCTGTGCATGTAAAGCTATCATCTATGATTGAATAAATCCAAATTATCTTTCTAATAAAATTTACCTCAAATTGCAAATCATCAAACCATGTGGCGTTAGGAATTTCATTTTTTAGTTTGGCTCGTAAAACTTTTATATAAACCGGATTCAATTTTATAAGATGAGGGGCCTTAAAGTATAAAAAAAATATTATTAATTCCAACTCTGTGAAGATCGATTGAACATATTTGTTTTTAAAGCTTTAAAAAGTAAAAACTTGTCAAGTAAAACTTAGTCATTAAAGAAGATAACATTACCAAATAATTAAAATTTAATAAATACCTTATCAATCAGGTATTGATCGAATATCTTTTGGGCCTCGTTTCTGACTAATTTGATGCATATGGGCTGGTTAGCTGTATTCTGATGGGTAACCGATGACATTGATAGACCACCCCCATTTTCTATCGATATGTGTTGCCGGGCTAGAGACCTGAATGACTGCCATTTAAAAATATTTGCGTTTTATATTTATTTATTTTTTAAAAAAGAGATTAATTTTGAAAGAATATACAAAATAAATTAAAGATTTAAAAAATTTGAACGAAAAATTATGAAAGCTATTTATTAAATAGAAAACTTCGATTGTAAGATAGAAGTACATGTAGTTTTGACAGTTGATAGTGTTCAGGTAATCTATAATGAATAAATTAAGAAATAAAAAAAACATTAGATATTAAAGATTTTATACAAATTTGATATAAAAAATTGTAATAATTTAAACGGGGATTTATATATATAACGCGTCGTTTGATTTATGGTCTAATCAGTATTTGTATCTTGAGATAATTGATGTAAAGGTAATTTATATCATTCTATTACTAACTAATATATAGTACCTTTTTAGCCATAAAAGATTTTTTTGATAACTCAAGATTGTAAATGTTCACAAGTAAAAAAAACAAATAGCGCCCTTTAAACGAAATTATCGTCATATAATAATTAGGATAAGTATTTGTATAATATTTCTGAATATTTTTACTTTGTTATTATTTAAAATATTTTTATTATAAATTATAGAGATGACAGTGGTCATATGAAAAAGTTTTGTCTGAAAGTGTAAAATCTATATATATTATATACATATATATAAATAAATATTTTAAATGTAGAGTATAATTTATAGGATGTCAATAAAACGAATTTTATGGTAATGCATGTGGTCCCAGTATAACAAGTGGGTTAATGTGGGATGTAATAAATTATTGGACAGTACAAATTACTCACATATGGGAATAAGTGGATAAGAAATTGCATTATGCTAGATAAAACAACGCAAGGTAAGTAATTTTTTTAAAAATAAAAAAATTTTAAATTAAATTCTTAAGTCAAAATAGGTTGTAAATGGTATAGGGTAATATATGAAAAAGGGGTTAAATCTTTTGGAAATATATAGATATACATACGGGTAACTAATAAAGGGTAAAATTAGTTATATATATTAAGCAGGGATGTTTACAGAGGATAAAATATATAAAAATATTGGTCTGTAAATATATATATTATAAATGAAATATTTGTATTAAAAAAGACAGTCATATGTCTAATCTTTGCAAACAGAATTTTAACTCAAATAAAAGATAGGTAGGGGGATATTTTAATTTAATAAAATTTGTTTAAATTTGGGTCAGGATTTCATATGTATATAGAGGGTTATTCTATTTATTGGTGTGGTCATTTTAATGATATAATTTTTTTAAAAAGGATTATGAATTTTTCAATAAAATGAGGTATAAAATTTAAGGGTTATTTATTTGGGAAATATATAGAGAGAATTATTTAATATATTTTGAGGGTTATGTTTTTCTTGTGAAAATCGTAAGTTTGTCTGTTTAAATTTTATTTGCTATTAATTTGTAAACTTAAAATTATAAAAAAATTACGTGGGTAAAAATTTTAATCGGATCGAATGTTATTTAATTTTTCTATGGTGCATCCATTGTAGATAATTTTTATCAAGTCAAATAGTTAATTAAATAAAAAAAGAGAAAATTATATTTGTGAAAATCTTAATGTATCTCGTTTCGAATCTTATTTATTTTTTCGATGGTTTGTCCAACAAAGTATTAGTTTTTATAAAAAATAATCAATAAATAAAAAGAAAAGAAAATTGATGAAATAGGAAATTTTTATTATTAATAAATTAGGAAAAAATAAGTTGTTGGCATTCTAAAATGTATCTTGATGGTATCTTATATATACATGTGTTGGGTTGGCTATTTATTTGTAAAGTTATGTTTTAAAAATAAAATAAATCTGTCATAGTGACTTAATTGAAAATAGGATCATAAAAAAAATTTTCTAAATATTTTGAAAAAAAGAAAATTTAATTAATAATTATAACGGATTTATAGTACCAATTTTGTTTTGGAAAAAGAAATGTTTTACTCTAAATGACTGTGGTCCATTTTAATTACAAATCAATATCATTCTCATGGACATCTAGTGTTGGCAATTATGAAGAGGACCGCCAGATATAAACTAAAAATATCTAAATATCCAGTGCCAACTAAGGCCTATGAAAAAGTAAGGCAATGTTTTAGATGTTCATACAATCATCTCGTTGGAGATTGTATCGTTCCAGCGTATGCACAAACCCCTCAACCGGCGATATTCAATCTTAGGAAGGAGAGACTGGGTAGTTGGGAAAATTATGGTGTCAAGAGCCCAAGAATCCTAATATTAGAATGTAAGGTAACAAGCAACGGCCGCCAATAGCTTATCAAGGAATTTAGATGAAGGATGTTCGCGATAATGGGGCCTTAAAGTATGTTGGGGATAGAAACCAAATGATTCAACCTACAGACAAGGAAATGGAAGACGCCATGGTCCAATAGTATATAAGAATAATTCCTAGGTTTCTTATAAACTGAATTATTTCTAGGTCCATGTTGAGACAATTATATATATATAAATTAGTTATAGCATAAGTTCAGAGGCGTATGTCCTTGGCCCATTAAGGTTGCTAACAAAGTAATTCCTTCATCTTCGTTTCCTAAGCTATCCGCTGTCATTGCTTGTTATCGTACATTCTTATATTAGGAATTTTGGGCCCGGAACCTTGTATAATTTTCCGAACTACCCGGCTACTCCTCCTTCCGTGGATTGAGTATCGCTTGTTGATGGGTTAGTGCATATGCTGGAACGACACAATCTCCAACAAGATGATTGTAAGAATGACATCTAAAACATTGCCTTACTTTTCATTGGTGTTAGTTGGCACTGGATATTTAGATATTTTTTGATTATTTCTGGCGGTCGACATGTACGAAGTAGATGCCCACTGGATATTAGAAATGGAAATGAGGAGGCGGAATACAGAGTACGATCTCCGATTCGATTAGTATCAGTGACAAAAACTAGACCGATAGCGGAGATAGTGGGTCAGAGGGCGGAGACAAACTAGGGAGTTACAAAATTAATTTCTATAGGATGACTTGACCAAAACCAATATTATTTTTTGTTGACAATCAATAAAAATTCTAACAACCATGACACTCCCCCCATTAGGATAAGCCAAATCCTCCATCCTCACTATCGCCTATAATTTCTTCTAATTCTTCATCCGTCATGAGAAAATCTAACATATTGTCCCAATCCTGGCTTCCCCCCAACTCTGGTACCCCCACCGGTACTCTGAATATCTCTTCTGGGTCCTGGTCTATTTCCTGTGCCCCTCCTGCCCCTACGTTTTCGATAATAGTCTCCCCATGTTGATTCCGACGTTCCTCCAAAGATGTCTATAAGGACTATAGATGGCGGGGTCGTTTCTGCTAACTCCCCAGTTTGTCTCCGCCCCCCCCACTATCTCCGTTATCGGTCTAGTATTTGTCACTGCTAATAATCGAATTGGAGATCGTACTCTGTTTTCCGCCTCCTCATTTCCATTTCTAATATCCAGTGGGCATCTACTTCGTACATGTCCTCTCTATTGGCACCGGAAACACCTTCGCGGATCTCCTAACGGATGTATCCGGGCAAAAGCCCCCCTTGCATCCCGGCGTTCATACCTAGTCCGGGGTCGAATTATTAATTGTATCACCGTGTCTTCAATATACCATATTTTGTTAATCTCCATTCGTAGCAACTAGGATATTTTTATTAAATTTTTCCTTTCCGTACACACAAATATCAATTTTACAATAATTACGAAAACAAAATTTATATTTTTTTAAAATCAATTCGAAAATGAAAGATTCGTACAAATTTTTTTCTTTTTATTAATTCTCCCAATACATACCCAAGATTATTAAGTCATTCCCCGCTTTTTTATTAATTGGTAATGACATTTCTGAATTTTAAACATTTTTCCCCAATCTTTGACACATTACAGATAATTTTATAATATATTATCTCAGCCTTTCGTCATCAATTTTCTTTTTATTAATTAACTATTTTTTTAAAAACAAATATTTCAATGGACACTGTTTAGGTCAGTCCAATATTCACGAGAGCAAATGTTATTTATTCTTTAAAAAAATGGATGAATAAAAATTTGGTTAACTTAAAAAATAATCCAATGATAACGTATGGTCTAAAATAAAGGATAGCTTGATATTTTTCAACTGCTCGGATTGGTCAGGAGATAAGGCTTTAAATTTGTTGCTCTATATAAAAAAAAATAGTAAATTTCAATTTTTATACTTTGGCATTGATCCTTATTTTACCTTTGCATAAAATATTTTCCGTAATACGAATATTTCTTTCTCTACTTAATAATAGTGTATTATTGGAAACCGTTGACCCTCTTCAAACTAAAATTAGGTAAAGTGAAATGCCTTGTTAAAAAAAATTAAAGTTTATGCAAACAATCTTACATTCAAATACTGAACTTGAAATGTTGAATAACTAATCTAAAATTAAGAACTCCCCATATTTAAATGATTAAATCAATAGGTACAGAATAACGATCTTTTAATTATTATCCTTCTTTCCTATTTATTATTTTTTTACCAGTTCAGAATAAGAAGTTCCTTGAACCATCCTCTTAATCCGTGAGTCGATCAATCTTTTAAGGTACGTCAAACTTTGTAACCTTTGTTTAACTTCGGCATCTGGGTGTATTTTTTAAAAAATGAAAATTAAATTGATTGAAAAGGGGCTTTATATAATTGTTATCAGGATTGGCATCTAAACAAGAAACTTTATAATAATTTAAAGAGCATGCAGCTAATAAAAAACAGCAAATAAACTGTGGTGGATGATCAATTCCATGGAGGAATGGATAGTAAAACGGTCCGCATCAACAAAAAAAATATATGATGTATGCAGCTAACTTAACCAATACACAATTGATAAGTGTCCTTTCAAGTATAATGTTATTAAGAATAAAAATCCTTATGGTTCGTGTTTGGTATAGGTCACTATCATTATTACATGCAGGTTCAAATATATTTCCCTGTTAATTTCTCCGGAAATAATATATCAGATCTATCGGTAAAGTAACATGCTCATGGAGGCTATAGGTTTTTCAAAACTAATGTTTTACACGATAATATAAAATATAATTTTAAGGAAGGCTTCTTTAAGTATAACAATACTTTTAGGTAGTCCGGTAAACGTTATGCATTTGGTAGCTAAAAAAATTCCGATCAATAACTATGCGTAAGATAGATACTAAAAATAAAAAGGGTGGGAATCCTTTAAAATGCATAGAAAAGTTATATAATGTACATGTGAAAAATGGAAGATTCATAATAAAAACAGATCACGAGCCACAGATACCATTAAGATTTTCCAAATATTAATAATTCATTGATAAAAATAGGCACGGAAAATGCAAGCATATCATGAATACAATAGTATTCTGATTATGATGAAAATGGATGCTGAAAAGCAAACCATCGATATCAAGAATCAAGTTAAGAACAGTATTCATTGAGAAAAGAGTGATCAGCTGAGAAGATAGTAAAGATATATTATTATTATTATTTACAGATCAGGTTGACAAACAAGAGAAGCTTTAGATGCGTGCTTATACTGTATTCATATTTTCAAAATTACTTTTCCTTAAAAAGAACTCTACTAAAAAAAATAGAAATAAAATATAATAAGGGCCAACCAATTTGCTTTCCAACAAGGTACACAAACATAAATATATAATACCATCGATTCCCCCTGTATCCTTGGATCTTTCAGAGGCAATTTCTTGCCCTACGATTTCTTTAATAGCTTCAAGTTCGCGAACATTATCTAGCACCTTCACAACCTCCAAAAAATTATCGTTCGTTATCGAGTATTGAGAACACTGATAAGTTATTTATTAAAAAAAATTAAAGTAGTATTAAAACTTCTAATTACATTCAATTTAAATAATGTTATCAATGGTATATAATTCTTATACATCAGAAGTGACTTCCTACCTGTTAAAATTTATAAAATAAAGTGAGGCCGTTGAAAAAATTAACTTCATTTTCTTGTCATTAAATTAATTTTAAAATTATCCTAATTTCAGATAGAAAATAAAATATGAAATTTGAATCTACATATCAAAATGCTTCAAAATATATGCATTAAGCTACTAATTTAGTTAACGAAATAGCTTTTGCAAAATGTATTTAACCATAAAAAACATTTTACATTGTAAAATAATTATTGGTGCATTATCAAGTTAAAAATGTTTTACATATAATATTTATTATTATTATGATGATATTGAGATGAGAAAAATTTTCACTGTTTAAATATCCGTAATGTATATTTTCCTATGTTCTTAATATTACTACAATTTTTTTTTTAATCTATATATAATAGCCGTAATCAAGAAATGAACGTTTTCGTATCTTGGTAATGTTAATTTTTTTTCTATCAACTTTCCTATCATCGTAACGTTAATTTTTTCACTTTCCTATCTCCTAAAGTTAAATTTTTTTTTTCTATTAACTTTCCTATCATCTTAATGTTAAATAAATCGAGGGCTATTATTATCTCGCTAATGTTAAAATTTTTTTTAAAAAATTTTTTTATGGCAAATTAGGGATTTGAATTCGCGACCTATCGTTCGGAAGGCAAACGTTCTTTCCATTGAGCCCCCCCCTTCAATATTATATTTTGATATATTTGTATATATATGAAACTTTTTTTTATAAAATTAACTTAATTTAATCAGAATGATGGGGTTGATGGGTAATTATTTAGTTAGGTGTATATGATACTAAATATGCTTTATTAATATATTTTATAGAAATATTAAAATTTAGGAGAAAAAGAGGTAAAATTGTTGCAATGTAACACGTGAACATTAAGAGGGTATTAGAAATATCAAAATTTAAATTGTGATAGAAATCATATTGGCTAAAATTTAAAATAGAGATCCTTGAAAATTTACCCTTCAATATTATATTTTGATATATTTGTATATATATGAAACTTTTTTTTATAAAATTAACTTAATTTAATCAGAATGATGGGGTTGATGGGTAATTATTTAGTTAGGTGAATATGATACTAAATATGCTTTATTAATATATTTTATAAAAATATTAAAATTTAGGAGAAAAAGAGGTAAAATTGTTGCAATGTAACACGTGAACATTAAGAGGGTATTAGAAATATCAAAATTTAAATTGTGATAGAAATCATATTGGCTAAAATTTAAAATAGAGATCCTTGAAAATTTAATTTTAAATATGGGATAGAGACATCAGGCCCAAAAAACCAAGTCCCATGCAACTTTCATAAAATTTTCATTTTTTTTATTTTGATTTAATAACAATGTCTTAAATTTAATTTTATATTCCATTTATTTCTATTGTGGGTAAATACTAATTAGTTAGGTGTATATGATACGAAATATGCTTTATTAATATATATTATAAAAATATTAAAATTTAAGAGAAAAAGAGGTAAAATTGTTGCAATTTAACCCACGAGCATTAAGGGTATTAGTAATATCTGGGTAAAATTTAAAATAGAACTGATATTTATTTTTGCAGACATAGCCAGGCCTGATCAAAAAACCAAGTCCCATGCAACTTTTATATAATTTTCATTTATTTTTTATTGTAATTTTATAACAATTTCTTAAATTTAATTTTATATTCCATTTATTTCTATTGTAATTTAATAACAATGTCTTAAATTTAATTTTATATTTAGATTTTAGAATAAAATTTAAAATTGTGATAGATATCATATTAAGTAAAATTTAAAATAGAGATGACATTGGCCGGGAAATTTTTTTTCGCAGACATGGCCAGGCCTTATCAAAAAACCAAGGCCTATGCGACTTTCATATTCTGATTGTATTTTTAAATGAATTATGACTTTTATATATGTTATTTCAGTTCTTCCGAACGATAGGTTCCAGTGTTGCCGTAAAAAATTTTTACATTAACGAGATAATAATAGCTCTCGATTTATTTAACATTAAGATGATAGGAAAGTTGATAGAAAAAAAATATTTTAACATTAGGAGATAGGAAAGTGAAAAAATTAACGTTAAGATGATAGGAAAGTTGATAGAAAAAAAATTAACATAACCAAGATACGAAAACGTTCATTTCTAGATTTAGGAATTTTTTTGTGTTACCAGTTATTTGAAAATAATATTTAATTTTTATTCTTTGTAACGTTAATAAATAGAATACTATGGAAAATAGACAATCTCCCAAACAATCAAAGGAAAGTATCCGCAAATTACGGAATCACATAAAATCCAAATATAATAATCCTAAATTAGTTTCATTAACTACAACTCATAATCCTAATTCAAATTTATATCTCCCAATTGATTTATCAATTAAAACTGCGATGATTCGCGCATGCATAAGCCGTTTTCATCAAAAAATTAAACAAATCTTTCCTACCACTTACACTTCTATTTTGGGAAATAGAAAAAGATTAAACATAACAAAAGAAGTTTTATTTTCCAATAATTTAGATAAAATATTTTTATTTTAAGGAAAGTGGTCGTAAAGTGCCAAGTCATATAAAATCCAAGAAACCCAAACCTATAGTAGCTTTAGTACCTACACCTCAAAGTATTAATTTAAATAAACCTTTTCCTATTGATATATCAACTAAAACTGCTAGGATGCGGGGCATGTGCTGCCCGTTTTCGTCTAAAGCTTAAACAGATTTTCCCCACCACCTATACATCTATTCCTAAAAATAGAAGTAATTTAACACATTTTAATACTAATGATATTCACTTAATAACTGAACATACTTGCGGGCCTATGAATATCATATGTCAATTTTGTTTTTCCATGAATTTCATAGCTGAGAGACCGAACAACGGTAAATTCACACAGTGCTGTCATAAAGGGAAGGTTAACCTTACCCAAATACCATATCCTCCTTATTTGAAAAATCTTATATCAAACCCTCAAGATAAGTTACATAATAATTTTATGAAGAACATACGTTCTTATAATTCAGCAGTAGCTTTTGCATCGATGGGCGCAAAAATTTCGGAGCTTACTGGTAGTGGCCCTTATTGTTTCAAAGTGCACGGCCAAATATATCACCGCACATCTAATTTATACCCACCTTCTAATGCTTTGCCTACTTATGCCCAGTTATAAGTGTTAGATACGACACAGGTTATAGATAAGCGTATACACCATCCGGCAAATAGTAAATGTAATAAAGATATTATGAAGCAATTAGATCAGTTAATACGACAAATTAATCCCTATGCTCTTAGTTTTAAGACATTAGGTGAAGTCCATCAATCTGCATTAGAATTAGCAACTACTTCTAAAACTCCCAACCATTAATATGATCTTTAAAGGAGATCGTTCTAGCGATCGACGCCGTTATAATTTACCATCTATGGATGACGTAGCTATGATTTTCAATAATGAAGATGGAGAGCCTCCTTTCAAAAGAGATATTAAAGTCTATCCTAAATCTAATGACAACGATCTCATTATTCTTAATGTATTGAGCCCAAATTTAGACCCCATGGTTTATCCTTTACTATTCCCTCATGGTGAACCTGGTTGGTCTCCTAATATGATCGCTGACAATTCTGACTAACAGGAGCTCTGGTAAATAATGATAGTATTTAGGGTGCTAATAAGAGATATTGTTTCATTAAAAAGAATATTCCCCGTCATTTTTGACGGGTTATCAACTAGTAATATTATATTAATGTATTAATTAATGAGACTATATAACCTAATGCATCTCAATAAAATTTGTCATATAATCGAATTTTACATGGGCACCTAATTTCTTTTAAAAAAAAATATATAATTTTTTTGAATATCTGGACAAAGATGATAAGCTTTTATTAACCTTGAAAATTTTTTGGGTTAGATTTGGTATAGATGGTAATATAAGAATATCACATTATTTAATTTATTATTTAGTTATTAAGTATGTTTTATGTTAACAGGTGAGATGAAATTGAATAATATATAGTTTTTAGTGTTGTTATTAAACGGCTCGATTTTTAAAAACGGGTAACCCGATATTATAACCTAAAAATAGGCAACCTGGAGATTTTGCTCGTAGGTAAAAAGGTTTGGAGTTGGAAATCTATTAAAGAAATCTAGAGACCTGCATAATATTATTTTGGCTAATTAAAATGCCGCTTAACAACACTTAGATATTTAGTCAATATTAAATAATCTACAGTGACAACTTTTTCACTTTAAATGATACAAGTTGCTAATGAAAAAAACATATAATCTATTTAATACTATAATAACTATATCTTCTAATTTTTGTAAAAAAATAAACAATATAACACTAAATTTGATATTATTATATTTTTACCAGTTACTCTAGATTACAATTGAAAATAAAAATTTAAAACAAAGTGGACTTCATGAAAAAATGTTTATAATCTTCCAAAAAGGTATGTAAGTAAATTAAACAGATCCCAAATATTAAATTTTATAATTTTCATAATGAAACGGGTTTATGATTAAATTAAAATATATCGATAATAAAGAATCAGAATGCTTATGTAGGGAAAGAAAATATTCATGGTAGTTCAGGTTCAATATCAGCTAATAAAACATAAATCTATCATGCCTACCTATAGAACCCAAGAATTAAAAGTCAAGTAAATTAGAATACTATAACAGGCACAATGTAAACTTAACAATAAAAACTCACTCTATTACTATCCTGCCAGAAACGGAACTACAACTCTACTATATCTCTTATGCCTTTGCTAACAGACTATAGTGGTACCGTACTCTATAATAAAACGTGTAGACATTATTTTATTTATGGGATCTTTATATATGGAAATTCATAACTCCTTCAGGGATAAAATTGTATTTCATGCAATTTCGAGCGTGGTAATGAGTGAATGATTCAACAAACCAAAAAAAATAGGTTTTGCAACGTTTAATTAATACATCTTTTTTTTAAAGAGAAGTCACATATTTTTTTTTTAAAAAAAATATAGTTTATAATGTTATAAAAATCAATATTTCATTTATTAGAAAATAGAAAAAAAATAATTAATATGGGTAAAATAATACCAGCCAGATAATCGTTTGGTTTATGTAATCGGGATCTGAAAATAATTCAATGACAGGTATCAACACCGAGTTAACTAAAATTTCCTGTTTTAAATATGAAAAAAAATTTTTTAATATATTATTGTGGTAAGCAAATATTATTCCTTTAGAAAACTCTTCTTTTTTTCTCTTTAAAATAATCAATGAGGGAAAAAGGTAATAGTGTAATATAGAGGTCTGCACGAGAGTTCCTTTAGCTCGTCCAGTCATACAATAAGCGGGGGTGAGCGGGCAGGTTAATAATCTTAATCATTGGATGAGCTGGGTAAGTTAGAAAAGTTTTTTTAAAACAATAGACCGCCGGTTGGATGACTTTAAATTTTCGGGATGTGCAGAGGAGACTAATTATTTTTTTATTTACCATCACTAATCTAATAATTTTTAATCATTGGGCTAATGGAAACAAAATTTTTAGAAAAATGAGAGGACGAACTAATTAACCATGGGTGGGTGGACGGGCATGTTAAAGGGAGGGCAGACGTCAGTCATAGATTTTACTCCATAGTAGTTTAGAAAAAAAAATCATATAATAATTAAGTATAAAGTCTCTTATATATAACATTATTCTTTATAAATTTTCCCCACTTTCCATATTCTTGATTAAAGGTCCCGAGAATCTTAATATTTAAACTGATTTAATTTTGCTTCCTGCTTCTTAAAATATTTGATTCCTGATTCCCTAAGAAATTTTAGTCAAAAAAAATATTGATACGCCTCGAGATTTCGTAAATAGTAGCAGAAAAATTTGGCCCCTCTTTTGACCAAATCTTGAGGCTTATGTATTATATTTGGCTAAAATTTTGATTTCGTTTTAATTTATAAAAATCGATGACACCATGCATATGTGACAAGGCTTTCTGAAATAACGGCTAATAAAGGATTCTCTCGATATATAATCATTTTTCTTACGGTTATATTTATATTTGGAAAATTTCGAATTTTACCGGAAATATATTCCAGCATGTGTAGAGGACCATAAATTTCTGACAATTTCTTCATCCATTTTTTTTTCAAATTTATATGAAAAAATCGATATTTAAAATAAAGTATAGTTCAACGGGTTCGACTGGGATACATGGGTGATAAAATAAGATTTTTAGAATTAAAAAATCTTATTAACATTCAGTTAGCGATCTAACATGATTCCAGATAATCACGTGAGGATTCCCCTATATGGGTCAGTTATTCCAAAAAGATCATTCACATTTTTATTAATAAAAATGCTTTTGGTTATCATAATCAAATTAGAAAAAAAGGTACGGCAGACTCACCGTGAGGAGATTCTTAATAGCTCTGGTAAATTCTTCGGCGGGAACGAGTATGTATAGAACAATTTGAGCAAAAACGTTGAGAAAAGCTTTCAAAAAAATTATTTTTATTCAATAATTATTTTTTTTTTAATCTATGGAATATTAAAATAATATAAGAGGAAGAAGCATTTATCAAATTTTGAGGGACAGGTCTAAAAGTCGAAATTTTTAAAATTTGGGCCAAACCCTAATATAATAAATATATTAAAAAACTAGGGCTAGGTTTAGAAATAATAAATTAGGATGTGTAACGTCGCAAAAGGCAATCAGAAACAAAAATTAAGCAATACCCGCAAAAGGCAATCAGAAGCAAAAATTAAGCAATACCGATCTCTAAAAGAAAAGAATATTAGCCCGATTTACATTTTATCCCAAAAGTGGTATAAAAATACTAGTTGAATGTATATAATGATTTATTTAAATGACATACCATTCTTTTGTTTAGGGTCGAGGCATACGTCATCGTGACACTTGGTAAAACTTTCGAATTCTGCTTCTATTTCAAAATATTGTTTCTCTATATCGCGAACTATATAATATAAATATATTATCGGAATATTAAACCATGATTATCATAAGGTTTACAAATGAATTATTTTTATATAATTTGAAGAAAAGAAGATAAAATTTGGCTTCCAATAATTTAATATTAAATTATGAAAAAAATATATTTGGCAGAACATTTTTTTAAAATTGGTTGTTCTTATCTACTGGCCGTAGTCATATCAGATATTTAAGACTACGTTCGCAGCCCTAAGTTATCTGTCTTGTTATCAGACAGGAAACTCTGCGATAGTCGAATTCCTTTTATCAAAAAAAAATGATATACATGGATCAGTATTATGAGTGAGATGCGAAAGGCGACTTAGCCACTTTATCGCTTTACCCCTTTAAAATTATGGTTGATAAGAGCGGTATTAATCGAGATATGGCTATTTTCATAACGATCAAGGTTTAGTTCTAGCTAACCTTGATTTATTAATACATAAGTATATTTTATATAATTTTTCAAAACTCATCGTTAAAATATATTTTCTAGTAAAAATAAATCATTGTTGATAAACAAATACATCATAAATTATTAATAAAGCCTTCCATAAAAAAAAGGAGAATTAAAGATGTGATAATTTGCAGCCATTTTTTAAAAAAATATATATAGAGGAAACTAAAATAAAAACTCCAAATATAACCATTTTCTTATCTTGAGCCACCTTTAAATCGATCCCTCCCTGGTATAGAATACTAACCACTTCTCTAGGTTTAGCCAAAATATAGTCACTCTAGCGTGGTTAACCTTACATATAATGAAAGTCAACCGGACCGGGTTAGACAACCCCAGTCTGGGCCAATTTTGGCAGATTAATATCTAGATTCCATTTGATTTCTGAATACAGCATTGATTTTTTTTTATAGTTGCAGATCAAGCTGCATGAACCATTCCTGGTTGTCCTTCTATATCAATCATAAAAAATTTATCGGATCAACATTTTCTTAAAGAAGGGATCTAAAAAGAAATAGTTGACCAAACATATAATCTTTTATTTAATTTTTAAATAATTTCTTTTGATAAATTATAAAAAAATCGATAAAAAAAGGATATATTTTTATAACCATTCCCATTATACTCTAAACTAATATCTAATTCCACTGCTGTTAAACCAACTATTTTTATTATGGAAACTTGAAAAAAAAACTATTAATAATAATAAAAAAAACTTTATATAAACTTATAAATGTTTTTTTTTAATTATTTTAGGTGGAACGAAAATTTATCATAAAATAAAATTTTTTTAAATTTACTATAAGAGACTATAGGCCAATCCGCCATTAAGGCCTTAATTAAGCTTATAATCTCGCGTGAAACCCAGCCCATCTGTAAAAAAAGCCCCTAGACCGAGGTGGGACAAGTACACATCGTCACTAAGCAAAGGGCAATTGCCATATCAATACTCTAAATAGATTTAAAATTTAATTTTTAGCAGGCATATGTATGATAATGTGTAGCGAACATACTAACCAATAGTGAATGCAAAAATTTATATAAAATTTTTTTTTCAATTTTATTATTTCCTAATTTTTACAATATGATAATAAAAATAAAATATGAAAACCTGTCATTCTATAAAACTGAGCCTACATTTTCCCTAAAATGAGCATTAATTCCACATGATATTATATCCAAGGAACGAGATAACGATTGGTTATAATTAGTTAATTTATAGTATTTATTTACGACAATATCAACTGGGTTCGAATCATTTCTTTGGAAAGGAAGAGACGTTTGCGAAGTTCTCAAATTAAGGATACACCTAAAAACCAAGACTGAAGTTAAACCAAATGGCCACCAGCAAAAATCTGATGAAAGATTAGCATGTTATAGGATGCTTGTATTCGGGCCTTCGTAAGACTACGGCTAATTATTGAATTAATAACTAAATGCCTTGCAGATCTGCCATGTCTATATATATACAACTTAAATCATATCTCCATTCTAATAAATTCAATTTTATTTAATACCATTTTTAGAGATTTTGTTAGTTCACTAAAAAAAATTATAAATACGTTGATGTGAATTACAAAAGTCTGATGGTGACTCATTTAACCCTATCATGATATCATCTTAAACAAACAAAATAGTAGCGATATTAATTAAATTTTTTTATAAGATATTGAAAGTAGACAAAACGTTTGCTTAAAATATTATGGACGTGCTCGAAATAAGTTTAGTCATTTTGAGGGAACGCGCCTTTGTCCTGTTGCAACCGAAGTTGATATGAATTGAACTTAATATATATATATATATATAACACCTTGATAATTAAGTAAAACAGCACTAAATAAGAGGAAAATTATAGAAATAAATCAAATACCGATCAAATAATTTTTAAAAAACAATTAAATTTTTATAATTTCTCCTTTTTTTAGCGCATAAAGTCTTGGTGATATTATATTTCGGCATTTTATATCCATGATGTAGTTGGGGGGGGGGGGGGGCAAAAGTGGTCACTGGATCAGCAAGCCACGCCTATATTTAATCAAAGCACGCTTAGGACATGATTAGGTGGTACGTGCTAGGGAAGCCATTAATAAATGATTTTCATATTAACAAATTATTGATTTGATTACGTGAGTCACATCTAGTCTACCCGTATAAAAAAATGTCCTAATAAGGTCTAATTGATTTTTTATGTTTGAAGAGAATTTATGCGTATTAAATCAATAATTTATTTTGAATAAAAAACATTAATTATTTTTACATCCGATAAAAAAAAATTAATGCGTTGTTACTGCAATTTGCTTAACTTGAATATGGAATAATTGGGAAAGGGCAAACAAACTGTCATACCAAAATTCACTAATAAGTAAGCCTAAAATACTGCTAAGCAAATAAATCCATAATAACAAGGTTCTGCTTATTAACCATTTAAGCCTGAAAATCAGGAGCGGTACATGATTATTTTACTAAATTTCATAACATTTTAAACCAGTTCTGGAATTCAAAAAAGTTTAATTTTTTAAAGTTCCTTTTTAATGCATATCAATTTTTTAAATTATTAGCAAATGACGGTAAAGGCTTACATTAAGTTTAATTAAGCCTCTATTATTTAGACTTTTAGTTGCGTATATTGTGCTCTGCATTTGTATACTCGCCTATTCCCCTGCTCAATCGTGATTCTCCGTTGGCGTCATCTGTTTTTTTTTCAACTTTAAATCATTTTTGAGCGCGATCTAATTTTACTAAAAATGTATTCCGGCATGTTTAGAATATCTACCCTGTGAATTTCAGAACAATTTTGACGTTAACTTTTGGGTAATTTATATTTTATATAAAAAATATATGGAAAAACTAATAAAATATCTGTTTCAAAAGTTCATTAGAGTAGGTTTTCTAAACTTATTGGAAGGTGAGATCAGGTTTTTAAATTTAAAAAAACGAGATTAAAAAATGTTTTAAAGTTGTAAAAATAACACATTGATTGAAGAAACACGTTGACGCTATATCAATTAGAACAATATATTCTTATTTTTCAATTATATTCCTCTAATCCTATGTCGTTCATATTTTTAAGGTATTTATTATTATTACATTAAATTAGTTTCTAAGTTAATTTTTGTTAGAAAATATGTTCCTCGATTTATAATGAGAAAGAAGGCCAAAGTATGAGAAGAGAAGGTAATTATGAGGTAGAAGCATGCATGAGAAGATATAGGCTGGGCTTCTATTTAAATTTCTATGGGCTATGACCGGATTTATTTCAAAAAAAAATTATGGATAGGGCTTGGGCTTGAGTTTTAAAATTCGTTACATTTATATTTAATACAAAATATAAAATAAATCCAATACATTAATAGTAAAATAAATTTTTTTTTAAATTAAATCTTTACATGCCTAGAATATTCAAATTAGTCATTTATAAAACTTTATTAGAGTTGTTAAAGGACCGAGATCAAAGGATCGACGATCCTGGATTCGATATTAATTTTGGCAATTTACACAGATTTATGATTTTCTCTTAAATGATCGTGATCGAGATTATTTTGTTAATATTCGATCCTTTGATCCTTTTAAAATTTATTCAAAAAGAATATAAATAAAATAAAATAATTTAAATAAAATATTATTTTTTTCTAAAAAAAAATCTATTTCATATTTTAATATCCTCCACCATATTTTAATTTTTCTCAGAAATTCTATCAAGTCAATATTTACAAATTTGATTTACAACCTACAAGTTTTATTTATTGAATTAAAAATAAAATAAATTATTTTTAAGTCGGCCAGATGGGCTGACATTAATACCATGGAGTAATGGAACTCCATTAGCATGGGATTATACTTGCATCGACCGATTTTCTCCCTCCTTTAATAACAACTCATTCGTGCGAGCTGAAAACTCTAAAATTAATAAATACACTTCCCTAACCAATTGCAATCTCATACCAATCGTATCCGACACAACCGGTTTTTTTGGAAATCATGGCCTAACCTTCTTCAAATCTCTTAAAAAAATCCGCGCCATCACTGGCGACCCACAGGAAGGCTTCTATCTCAGACAGCGCATATCTATTGATATATGCAGATCTAACTGCATTGCCATCCACGGCTCTCTTTCTTGACCTCCTCCCACCCAACATACAATTTACTATACTAATTTTTTTTTTATTATACAGTTTTTTATATAGATTTTAATTTACAAATAGTTTACATGATATTTTTAATATATATTTTTAAATTACGTATATATGAAAAAAATAAATAAATAAACAATTAAAAACAAAAAAGAAAAATTTTAAGTATTTACTAATGAATGTCTACTATAAATCTAGATGATACGAGGACAGTAGCATATTAGCAGCAATAATTCACCCAAAATTTAAGCTTAATTGGTCTAACATCAACCTGTAGCAAAATCGGTTTGAAAAATAGGTTAATTACCCATTTGGAAATCCTGCAGAATAAACATATGCAGATGCTTATTCAAATAATTGTATAGATAAAACTAATACTTTCTTTGGGAGAAATTCTTC